GAGAGAGGGAGGGAGGGAGAGAGAGAGAGAGAGAGAGAGGAGGGAGGGAGGGAGGGAGGAAGGAAGGAAGGGAAGGGAAAATACAAGTGCGGACAAGGATATGGAGAAACTGGAACATTTGTGCAATGCTGATGAGAATGTAAAATGGTGTATCCACTAAAACAATATGGCAGTTCCTCAAAAAATTAAAAATTGAATTACCAAATAATCCAGCAATTCCAATTCTTATACCCAAAAGAATTGAAAGCAAGCTCTTGAGGAGATATTTGTACACCCATGATCATAGTAGCATTATTAACAGTAAAACAGTCCAAGTGTCCTTGTACTGATGAATGAATAAACAAAACATGGTATATACATACAATGGAATGTCATTCAGCCTTAAAAAGGGAGGAAATCCTAACACGTGTTGCAACATGGATGAACCTTGAGGGTATGATACCAAGTAAAGCAAACCAGTCACAGAAGGACAAATGCTGTATGATTCCACTTATATGAGCTGACTAGAGTGGTCAAATTCAGACACAGAAAATAGAATGGCGGTTGCCAGGAGCTGGGGTGACGACGGAATGGGGAGTTATTGCTTAGTGGGTACAGAATGTCAGTTTTGCAAAATGAAAAGAGTTTCAGGGATAGATGGTGGTGACAGTTGCACAATAATGTGACTGTACTTAAGGCCACTGAACTGTACACTTAAATATTAAGATGGTAAATTTTATATGTATTTTACCACAATTTTTTAGAAGTTTGAATGGTGGGGAAATAAAGGAAAAGTGACTTGACTTCCTTCATAATTATACATGACCAGCTCTATGTCCTTTACTTTAAGGAACTATAGCTGTTGATTTACATTCGCTTCTCAAAACAACCCCATCAGACAGCAATTCTAATTAACCCTTGTTTTACAGAGAGGAATGGAACTTGCTCAAATCCCCAACAATGGTATATACTGGAGCCATAACTTTGGTTCAGGTCTTCCAAATACATGAAAACACTGACACAGCAAAGTAGCTCCGTGTTTGTGGCCTCTGCGTCCAAATCCAAGCGCTTTTCACCAAATGAATGCTAGAGCTTTTTGCTGACTGATGATATAATTTGGTGACATTTTCCAGCTTCCATACCTTATTTCAGATGCATGGCAAAGTTACACTGCTCTGCTCAAAGTGACATCTGTAAATTTCCCCAAAGCATGTTTCTGTCTTCCACGCTTGAGCTGTGACACTTCAATTCACACAATATTGCTCTTAGTATTTGTCACTTTTCCTAGCCTAGTAAAGCTCTGCTGATGATAAGGGGTAAATCCAACTTGAGAAAAATGCAACATCAGATTTGGTGCAGGGATGATACTACAAATGACACAGTCTTGTTATGGGTTATTGTAGACTCTTGATTTTTCATTGACACCAGGGACTGTGTCAGATTCATTTCTGTGTCCTCATTCCCTCACACAGATCCTCAGTAACTGACTGCTGATGTGGTCCTGAGGTAAGGATGGAGGTGTCAGGGGTGGTGGCAGTGGTGTTCATGTACGGCAATCTCACAAGTTATAAAGACTAATGATAGCTAATAGATAAAATAGATAAACAACAACAAGGACCTAATGTGGAGCACAGGGAACTCTACTCAATATCCTGTAATAAGCCATAATGGAAAAGAATCTGAAAAATTATACATTTTATATATATATAAATAACTGAATCACTTTGCTGTACACCTGAAACTAATACAACATTGTAAATCAACTCTACTTCAATTAAAAAAAAAGAAAAAGGAAAGAATAAGAAGAGCGGATATTAAGAAGCATTTACTCTGTCACTCTGTTGGGAGCTTTACATATATGAACTGTGAATCCTCAAACCACACTATGTCATAAGCATTATGATCCCATGTTTCAGATGAAGAAACTGAAGTTCTGAGACATTAAGTAATTTTTTTGCCCAAGGTGTCACAGATAAGTGGTATACTCAAGACTGCTTGAACCTCCGGTCCCTGCAGTATTCTACTTCCTCATACAATTGCATATTATCCCTGCTTTGTATTTTAATCAGTTTTTCAGTGTCATAATGGTGTGGTAGGAAAAGTACTAAACTTTCAAAGAAAAGATATTTAAGTTCCCGCTCCATTATTTGCTAATTGAGCAAGCTATATCATCTGTATAATGGGAAATTTCTGCCTTGCCTATCTGAGTTATAAGATTGTCTCAGATGAAGTATTTTGGAAACTGAAAAAACAATTATAATAAATGCTGGCCTTTTGCTTCTACTTTTATTCTCAATAAAATTTAGGTCTTTCAGGTCAATTAAAATCTTGGGCTTGGTGGATATTTTCCTTTATGTAGGTAGTGAAATTTATCCTAAAAATCTCAATATGGGGGCTTCCCTGGTGGCACAGTGGTTAAGAATCCGCCTGCCGATGCAGGGAACACGGATTCGAGCCCTGGTCCGGGAAGATCCCATATGCCGCAGAGCAACTAAGCCCATGCACCACAACTACTGAGCCTGCGCTCTAGAGCCCACAAGCCACAACTACTGAGCCCGCATGCCGCAACTACTGAAGCCCGCGCACCTAGAGCCCGTGTTCCGCAACAAGAGAAGCCACTGCAATGAGAAGCCTGCACACCGCAGCAAAGAGTAGTCCCCGCTCACCACAACTAGAGAAAGCCCACGCACAGCAACGAAGACCCAATGCAGCCAAAAAAATAAAATAAATAAAATTAATTTACTTTAAAAAAATCTCAATAAGGTTACTCAAAATGATCACTTATTTATTACTAAAACTTACTTATTTTTCCACCTTTAAAGTAGAAAACTCTGGCACATACCACCGGTTTGGAATATCACCAATAGTGGGACAAACTGACATCATGCACCTCTTGCTGTGACACACTGTGACACACCACTTATATAGTATTCCTACCAAAAATCTTATCATGAAAAACAATCAGATAAACCTATTCTGCAGAACAAATGACCTAGAGTCTGTAAAAATATCAGTATTACTGAAGACAAAGAAATGCTGAGGAACTGTTCCAGGTTTACAGAGACTAAAGACGCACAAGTAAATATAATGTGTGATCCTGAAATGAAAAAAAAAAAAATTGCAGTAAATGGCATTATTAGGACAATTGGCAAAATTTTAGCAGTTAGTGTACATTAGAAAATACTATTACAACAATGCTAAACACCCTGAATTTGATCATTGCATTTTGGTTAGAGAATGCCCTTGTTCTTAGGAGATACACACTAGAGTATTTAGGGATGAAGGGCCATGAAGTTTGTGATTTACTTTCAATTTGTTCCCCAAACAAATATAAATAATATAAAAATTCTACGTACTCATGCATGGGCTAATATTCTTAATTCACAGAGGATACTAAATAGGGATAAAATATGCAAATGTCCAGTGGAAGAAAAATTAATTTTATTTGTACAAGACGGTACTAGTTTTCCAAAAATATACCAGGAATCAGAAAAATCTAAATGTAAGTAAATGGGTCAGCTGTAAGGCAACAATCAAACAATAAACAAATCAAACAAATCAAAGCTGCTGAATAGTACAGCTCCTACAGCATGTTGGCGAATCCACCCCATGTTTTGAATTGAAGAGTGTGCCCCAGGGATTTTTGTGGTCAGTACGGCTGGGCTGAGGACCCCCTCTGGGGCTAGCAGTTCCGCTGAACACAGTTCCCCTGTGTCTCTGGCAAGCACCCCTGACACACTCTATGCCTGGTGGGCCCCTGGTGCCAGGTCCAGAAGAGGACACTTAACCCAGGCTGAGCCTGAAAGTCCCCAGTGCCTAAGTACCTCCTGGGAGTAAATGGAGCCAACGACAATCGAATTACTGTTTCTGGAGTGGCTGGCAACCAGGAGGCCAGCGACTTTGCCCAAGACTGGCATTAATCCTACCACCCCAGGCTTTGAAGAAACTGCTCTGAATCACGTCTTAGTAGCTAAGTAGTCTAAATTAACTGCAAGAATGCTTTGCTCCGGGGGCGGGGAGGGTCTACAGGAGCAAGACACGCCGTTTTTAGAACTTAACCCGTTTAAATGGCCAAGAGAAGCAAACTGGTACAACCTCAAAATTCAACAGCATTTCACAAACTCCCGACTTGCCCCTAACTTCCTAAGATTAACCGGCCGCTGGCAATTCCAGTCCCGTTCCGACTACTATCTCCCCACGCCATCGAGAGGAAAGTTTGCCGGCGAGGAGCGCCCAGCACAGCCCGGGCCGCGCAGCCGGGGCCGAGCATCCCCCGCGCCCTCCCGGGTGTAGACGGGCCGCCGGTGCCACCCACGCGCGCGGCCGCGGGCTGCTACTGTACCTCGGGCGCTGGCGACTTGACGCCGAAGGCGGCGCGGCGGGTGGGCTGCGGGCGCCGGCGGCCGGAGCAGCTCATGGCGGCCGGGGCCCCGCTGCGCGCTCGGACCCGCGGGCGGCGGGGAGCCAGGGAGGCGCGGGAGCCGCCGGTGCGCGCTGTGCGTCTCCTCGGGCAACCGGTAAACACTGCGGCGAGGCCCGGACGCACGCTGCGCCCGCGAGACCCGGAACCCGGGCCTTGCTGCGAGCCGTCCGCGCCTCCGAGACGCGCCCGAGGGCGCCTGACCGACCCCGTTCCTCCCGAGGGTGTCCCCGCGGTGCGCGGCGCAGCGGCCGAGCGGCCACATCCGGCCAGGATGAGGCTCACACACCCGCCGGAGCGACGGGGCACAGCGGGGCTGGAGGCTGGTCTTCACCGCGGGACTCCATCGCGAGCGCAGTTCCGGGTCTTGTCCTCAGGTCAGGGACAAGTGATAGCCAGGGGTCAGTGTTGACAGGACTGGCGGCGTGCGCTGTCACGAAGGTGAATGAGCATTTATTTAGCGCCCACTGTGTGCCAAGGCTTCTGCGTCTTCCAGCGCCGGGCCGCTTGCTGGGTGTGCAATCCGTGCAGTGGCACAGGCCCTGCGCTCAGAAGGGCCTCACGCTTGGTTTAACTCCCTGCTGTCCCACTCTTGAAATTCTTAGTGATTTTTGAACAAAGGGTCCTACATTTGCCTTTTCTACTGGGATCCGCAGATCATGTAGCGTTCTCGCATTCAACCTTCTCAACAACCCTGCAGGGAAATATAAATATTAGTAATACTAGTGTTAGGACAGCCATAGCTTCTGGTTATAAAACACTTACATGTGTTCTTTCAAGAGCTTTTCTAACTGCTTTCCAACTAAGATTTCATTACTTAAAACAAGATTATGAAGTGGATATAAGAATGATCCATTTTTAAAGTGAGGAAACAATCACAGGGAAATGAAAGAAATTGTCCAAGAGTATACAGCTGGTCAGTGGCAGAATGATGATCAGACCCCAGACCATAAGACTGAAAGCACAGAGAAGGTGAGTAACGTGCCTAAGGTCCCACTATTTGTAGCAGAACCTCAAACTGGAACCCACATTCACCTCACTTCAAGGCCCTTCATGGACCTCCCTGGGTGCTGTTCTAAAATTAAATGAACTCACAGATGTGGCAGCTTTTCTTAGATTCCATCCAACCATCCTACTCTGAGGACTTCTTGGCCTTGAGGATGGCTTTTGATTTTGTTTTATATTTATTTTATTTGTTTATTTGGTTGCGCCGGGTCTGGCTCCTTAGTTGTGGCATGCGAACTCAGTTGCGGCATGCACGTGGGATCTTGTTCCTTGACCAGTGATGGAACCCAGGCCCCCTGCACTGGGAGCGCGGAGTCTTAACCACTGCGCCACCAGGGAAGTCCTTATGGCATTTGATTTTACAGTAACATTGCCACGTATCCAGTCCAGAATCACCTCCATGCTTTCACTTGAACCAACATTAAAAAAAACAAAAAAGTCCTTAATGCAAATGAAAGCTTTCAGAAATCTCCTATTAATAGTATAGTTTGTAGTAAACATGCTTTCAACTTGCAGTTTTTCCTTGCAGTAGAATCACTACACACTTGTCAAATTTTCTTTTTTTTTTTTTTTAATTTTATTTATTTTTGGCTGCGCTGGGTCTTCGTTGCTGCATGTGGGCTTTCTCTAGTTGCGGTGAGCAGGGGCTACTCTTTGTTGCCGTGTGCGGGCTTCTCATTGCGGTGGCTTCTTTTGTTGTGGAGCATGGACTCTAGCCGCGCGGGTGTCAGTAGTTGTGGCACGTGGGCTCAGTAGTTGTGGCTCGCAGGCTCTAAAGCTCAGGCTCAGTAGTTGTGGTACACGGGTTTAGTTGCTCCACGGCATGTGGGATCCTCCCGGACCAGGAATTGAACCCATGTCCCCTACATTGGCAGGCGGACTCTTAACCACTGAGACACCAGGGAAGTCCCACTTGTCAAATTTTCAATGAAACAACACTGCCCGAGGAAATACAAAAGCTGATTGAAACCTCAAGGCACCTGGAAGAGAAACTGTCTGAAAAAGTCCCTTCTCCATTAACTCCACGTCCAATTGTTGCAGAATTCAGTTTCACAAAGTCTAATTCTGGTCACTGTGGTCAAGCTTGTAACTCTTCTTTATGACACCAGAAGATATGAATTTACACAGTCTTTAAAAATCGGTGTTGGTGATGAATGTGTTAATTAAAGAGATGGGAGGAATCCTTTCAAAATATAACATACCAAATCACCACTATGCACACTTTTAATGTCTTACCGTTTTGTCAGTTATACCTCTATAAAGCTGAAAAAAAACAAATACCCACAATAAAAGATTTTAAATCAGTGTTAAACAGATTCTTCTCTATGAAAGCAATATAGTTTTGCAGTAAGTGGGAAAAGAAAAAGTACCTGGCCTGACCCTTCCCTGGATGCCTGCAAACGTTCTGGGATGTCAAGACATGAGCCAAGTGACCCTTCAAGGTAGCACCCGATGATGTGTCCCTTGAGAATTGAAAGGAGGACCCTGCGTCTGGATGTACGTCTGAGCTGGACCCTGGAAGGGACTACAGTTTGGGACTAGCTGGCACTATGGTGATAGAATACGCAGGCTGGCAGTGGGGGGAACTCTGGGTATGATGTTAGTTTAAGCAAGGCCTGGGGGGTGGGCACAGTTAGTAAAAATGCACAAAGCACGTTCCAGCCCAGATTACTCACAAAACTGCATGTGTGGGCAATATATTATGGTTTGTAATATCTCGGTACAGACTTCTAGTTTTCTTTATAATGACGACAGAGTCAGGAAGCTGCCAGGTGCGTGACCTAGTCCACCTCATACCTGCTTCTTTATAGAAGAGGGAGGTTCCTTATTAGATACCAGGCTAGTGTATAGAAACCCTTTAGCTGGCCAAGTTTTTAGCCATAGTTGATTAACAATGTTGTATTAGTTTCAGTGATTCGGTTATATGTGTATATTCTTTTTCAGATTCTTTTCCATTACAATTTATTATAAGGTATAGTTCCCTGTGCTCTACAGTAGGACCTTGGTGCTTATCTATTTTATATATAGTAGTTTAGGCCAAGTTTTTAAACAGCAACAGGACGAAGGCTGCAACCAAAGGAAGATAACAGGGCAACAGGAGGTGGGATACACGGGAGGAGAGAGAGGGAAGGCAAGGAGGCCTGCAGGGGGAGCTGTCACAGGCCAGGTGAGAGGAGGGACCGGCCGGCTGGGGGCGGTCACGTGAGGAGGGGAAGGTTCGGAGGGGGAATCCACTGGAAGCTGAGTTTACCAGCCAGGCTGAAAGCATAGTGAGGCCTGAAAAGCAGTGAGGACATAAAACAGAGGAGGGTAAAGGAGAGAGAGTTCAGTTTGGGACAGATTTAGTCTGCGGCGCTGATAGGAGAAGGCAAACAAATATTTTGTAGTTTGGGAACGGGAAGCCCTGGGCACACCCAGCTTAAACCAGAATTTCCTGCTCATTCTGCTATAATGTTCAGTCTTATCCTGAAATATGTTTACAGAGCTGGCACGTTGAGATATACATTCAATAAACATGATATCTGAGACAAGATAAAAAATGCCTCATCAGTAGCTCTGGGAAGCGAGGAAGATCTGCATCTCTGGCACTTGGGCTTTTATTCTGGAGCTTTCTTGTGGTTTCGTAAGTTTATTTCTCCAGTTTCTTCCTTTTGTTTGTTTACTTGTTTGTCTTGCAAATATACAAGTTTCTCATAGGAAAAATCTGTAATAGGAAACTTTGGGGGCTTTCAATATATTTAGAAACCTGTCTGGAAAGCACTCCTGTAACATTTTGTTTGTCTAAAGATTGTTTTCAAAGAATGTTTGATTTAACTATTTTCCTAACCTGGATGAAATGTTGCCAAACCTGCAAACTGCTTTAGTCATCCAACACAAGATTCCTTGGTAAAAGACCACCAAAACCTACTTCTGTCCTTTAAGTGACTGCATTTAAAGGACTTTATAACCATTCTCAGCCCTGTCTTAGACTTGTTTCAGTTGCTTTGCTGATTTCTATCTGATCTCTCTAATAATTAGTCCTTCTTTAGCAATGGTTGTTGTTTTACCAATTCATCCTAAAACAAATCCCCGTCCCTTATTTGTCCTAGTAGGACAACACAGCTAGTTGTAAAACAATCTATCACTGTCACTTCCAAAGATCTTCATAAATTTTCATATCATTTATTTTTAAAGTCCGTTTTCTTTTCCCAATACATATAACTGTTTCCAACATATTTTATACCTAAAATAAATGTGATCCATTTTATAACTTTATGATAAGCTAAGCTTAGAAACCACTGAGAGCTCTCTTTATAAAAAATAACCAATTCAGGGACCTTTGGTTTCAGCATTAAAGTCAATCACAGACTGCTCTTTTTATTTAAAAAAGTAAAATCCTTATCAAAAACTTAAAGTGCTTTTTAAAATATTTTAGCTGCGTAAGTAGAAGGTTCTGAAAAACATCCATAATAAATATATACTTTCGAAACTCACATGATTTTTATCTCACTTTAAATTCAACATATTTTCATTCAATTGCAACCTATATTTCCTCAAGTCATCAAAGAGATTTCGTTGTACACAACGCCATCCTCCGTGGCCTTACTGAAGCAATCCTTCAGTTGTAAAGTTACAAATTTAAAATAGTTCAATATTTTAGGAAAAATTTGGAAGGATTAATCATGCAGTCAGTGTTAATATTTTTTATCCCAAGGGGACAGTGAACTTTCCGGCAGACTGTCAGAAGAACTACTTCACCATGTGTCTCTTTACAGGAAAAGTGTCAACCAGTCAGGAGGATTATGGCAAGTCTGGGATGAAGCAAGAGCCCTAAGGGCCTTCTTTGACTGCTCTCTCCTCCACATTCCCTTGCAGCTATGGGTCTTTTAGATAAGTCTTTCCCCTTTGGCGTTAGTTCCCCAGGAAGTGGTCAGGATTCGTAAGGAAGTCGTTTACTGAGGAGTGCTCCTAGGACAAGGAGGTGAGGAAAACAGAATAGGGCAGGAGAACGAGCTACTCCAGCATGTGGGGCAAGCCTGGAAACTAACTTCCCACTTTGGTTCCAGGGGGCTGGCCCTTTGTACCTGCAACCCCCCTC